AGCCAAGGGCAAAGTCGCGGTTCCACCATATTGTTACTCAAAAAAGCTCCTCTCTGAGTCTGACTACTGTCTGAGCAACAGTCGTTTTCCAGTTCCTAGTCCAGCACTTGAGAGTTGTGTAGTTTCTCCCTCTGGACAGACCCAGACAGTAAGTGTCTCCTCTATGGCAGGCATGGAATATAACTACTTAGCGAGCCGCGACTGAATTTTTCAAGCCGTGGTTTTATGGATTTGCCAGCCGTGATTCCATTTCTTTGAGCCGTGATTCCATTTCACCGAGCCGTGAACTTGATATCTTGGCCATGAAAAGCCACTTACAAGGTGCGAATTTATTTACAAAGTCCATGCACCTCTTATCCCAAATCACTCATTTTACCCTAAAACAGTCAAACGGCAACAATAAAATTTGTCTTTACTCTAAGTTGAACGCGTATTAATGCAGTATGACCGCTTTGACATGACTGCAAGTGACCGTAAACGTGGTATATTCTGACACATTAAGGACGCATCGAGAAATGAAAAACTATAAAAAAAACATATGCGTTACTCGAGTTCTGTTGGCTTTACGTGACTCGCAAAACACCGTACTACCCGCCAGCAATGATGAAACGTCACAAAATGTTGCCATATTTATTTAAAAGCCTTTAGAATGCAAACCTACCAAATCCCTATATTCCGACGCTGTGTGTGGCAATATTCGGCACGTGGTGAGGCGTATTCCGTCCGCACTTCAAATTCTACTGATACGTAAAAGCGTGATTTTTAGGTTTTACATAGGTTTACAGTCTTTCCCAGATCGATATAGATCATTTCCAGTCAAAAAAATTTTTCCGATTTTTGATGAAGATAAAATGCAAGGTAAATAGTGGACGCAAATTCCGTGGTGTTATGGCATTTTTAACTTAGCCTGGGTGACCCATATACTTTTGTGGTTGTTTCTTAAATATCTATAAAAAATGGTTTTCCGATGCCAACCGCCAAAAACGGATTTCAGATTCTTAATCTACACCCCAAAAAACATATAATTAAAAAAGTAACGCCCTTTTTTTTGGATGCACTTAATGTAAAGTAATACCCTTATTTCTAAAGTGCCTACAAGTCTATTTTATTCTATTCTAGTGGTACCAAAATGGCAAAATCATCCAGAACTATGGTATGATTCCAGGGAATGCACAGGAACATTGCTCTGACCCCACTCAGCTACTAGGCCTGCTACAGTCTACTGGCAGTACCGTTGACGGGGGGGCCAGGAGCCTCCCGGTCGACGTCGGCGGGAGGGTTATGCATCAGCATGAAACCCTGAACTGACCCAGGGCCCAGGGTGCAGAGGCTGGAAGCAGCGTTGACTATATATAGGTTTTTAAGCCCAAAGCGTTGCCAACCATTTTCAAGATGCGTTGCCAGAATGCCAGGTAATTTTTAATGAAAAGCCATTTACGCTGAGTAATTAAAAACTATTTACAAGGTTACATGCACGTGTTACCCCAAATAACTAATTTTACCCTAAAAACAGTCCAATTGTATAGCAAGTGTCAACTGAACATGTGATAATGCAGTCTGACTGCTCTAATGTGACCGCAACTACACAATCGTAAACTTGTTTACATTTTTTGGCGGGAACTCATCGCAACTGATTTCCGGACAAGCTTCACTGCATCCTGATCCATCCATTGTACCGGAAACCTTACTTTTTCTAAATAGTTGGCCAAAGACTGAATAAAATATTAAATGCATTAAATGCAAGAATTTCAATCTAAATGTGTTGGCAAGATCTTCTGAAGACGTAAATTTTGCTACTGAAGCGTATCCAAAGATCTTGCAATATTCATCCACTCTCTGCACAGTGGAACTGACCATGAGAACTGGGGGTAGTGCTGTGCTTCGCAGGCCCGCAGCTTCTGGTCGTGGCCAAGCCAAAGCGTAACCTCTCTGGACTCTGAGGACTGAGACTCTATTCAAATCTTCCAAACATTACATTTTCTGATTTTCAGGCCCAGTCTGCCCAAGCCTAAACATTACTTACATTAGTTATGTATTCCATTAAGTCTTCCGGATGGAATGATGTACCTACCCATTAACGCTGACAACAATTAATTCATAACAATAATTCAGTAAATTTAACCTGAAATCCGCTCGAGTGCACCAGGCATAGAATATATCTACTTGGCCAGCCATGACTGAATTTTTTGAGCCATGGATTTTTGGATTTGCCAGCTGTGATTTCATTTCTTTGAGCTGTAATTCCATTTTTTCAAGTAGTTAATTCCATGTCTGTGATATCCCTGCCATGAAAAGCCATTTATGAGCTGCGAACTTATCTACAAATTACCAAGTCCCTGAATTCTAGAGGGATATTAAATTAACCAGTACTGTCAGTACACATTGCATATTGGAAAGCAGGACCTGAAAGCTTGGAAAGGCCAGGAACTTTTCACTTTCAGTCTATTATTTACATATCCTATCACTTTCCAGCTGTGATTGGTTAATGAAAATTGTAATGTTACCTGCTTTCTAGCTGTGATTGGTTGATGGGAATGCTTTCCAGCTATGATTGGTTGGGCCCATAAGCTTTGGCTGCCCCGCCCTCACTCAGCACCCTGGGGCCCCCAAACATAGTACCATCAAACAGGGGTAATAACGGATGGGCGGGGTAATAAGGGACCATGGTGGAATTTTAATATATAGTGCTCAAAGGTACTTGTGGGTGGAGACATATCCCTTCCCAGCTGTGATTGGTTAAGATGTCATTCATTCCAGACTGTGATTTGTTGATAGTGTCATGATCTTATCCTCTCAGGACTGTGATTGGCTAATAGGATCATGATCTCATGCTATCCAGATTATGATTGGTTATGGGATCTTATCCAGACTATGATTGGCTATGCAATTGCCTTCCCACCTAAGTGGAAATTCCACTTCCTCAACAGACATACTAAAATTTTGTATGTGCGCAGAGTTACCCTATTGCAGATGAGTGCGGATTTTGGAGGAATATCTATATTCAACCATGGAATTGGGTAATTCTCTTGAAATATCATGTATCACTTCCACAGAACTAAAAATGTTGTTGCACAATGAGAGGCCGACATACACAGGTTTTGTAGCGAACTCACAACCTTTGTTGCACTTTATCCAGTAGATCATACTTCAGGAAATGCATATAATTTCTAAATCATGAATTGCAATGCTTTTATGTAATAGATTACACAATAATACAAGACACAAAGAAAATAAAGACCGGAAATATTTTTTAGCATTTTTTTTATCCTTTAATGATTAGTTCAAATTTGTACAGTAAAATGAAATTATGGTAACCTAATATATGTGAATCATATACGGTAGTTAAGATGGGATCGATCAATTTATAACTCAATGATCAATGGTTTTGCTTTAATTTATTAAATTTATATTCAAATTGGTGGTATCTATGCTGGTGTAATAAGCATCATAAATTTTTCATATTCATTCACTGCAAAGTGAAATATAATTGGAATATGTGGTTATTTTATAGAATGCTAACTATAAGGCACAGAAAAATGACAAGGTCCCATTTACCCTCGATGCAAATGAAACCTCTTCATCGGTGCAGCTCAGGCACTTTTACCTACACAATTTGTAGGACATGAATAGCATTTGTGAACATGCATGCAATGTGCATGTTGACTTCATGCACTGACATCAATACATTATCATGTTTTCCAGCATTTGGAGAGTACATTTCTAGAAAGCTTCTTCTAATTCACCTGATACGTATAGTGCCTAGCATTATGTGAAAATATTCATCTGTAGCAAAACTTTGAATTGGGCTTTCACATCATCACGAATTAAATAATAAATTTTGGTGGTAGAATCAGCCTTCATGAAATTTTACAAGAAAAAGTTCGTGTTGAGTATTGTCAAGCAGTGTAGCTTTCCGAGTAAAGCTAATTTTATAACCTAATTTATTTTGCTATTTGAAAGGTTGAACTGTTAGTGACAGGAAAGACACTAATAAACTAAATTCTGTAACCCATGAAAAATTAAAACCCATCAGCTAGCAAAGTAACTACAGTGATTTTATTATCACAAGTAATTTACATAATAGAAATGTCAACACTATTTTTCAAATAAATTTCACTATAAAGCAGATGTGTTGACCAATGAGTAAAATTAATATTAAGTAATTTAGAACACTTTGGTAAAATTAGTTCATGCTATTGTTATCTCAAAGTTGTACAGCAGGCATGTTGATGCATAGTAATATACTCCAACTACAGAGCCAACTGAGTTGTATTATGGCGCAATAATGATGGCATTAACAAACTTCATGAGAACCGTTTAGGAACAGAAAATGTTAACTTTCATTTACGTTTCTCCAAAATGAGGCAACTAAAATTTGAAATATTTTACTGTGAGCCAAACTCTCTAGTATTTATGGGTAAAATTATACTGTGAAAAATCATTGCACATCAGTTGCCATGAAGAAACGATTGAGGAGGTTTCTCTGATAGCAAACTAAAGTATCATCCATTCCATCAGAGAGCCACACTTATGACCATCACTTTCCTTATTTAATAAAAACTTGCAAGTTAATGTAGTATAACTAGTGACAAATTATTACTTTATCGGTATTGCTAGATCAAATTTCAGGTAGAAATTTTAAGGTTTCTCATTAAAATCTAAGATGCATCACCAAAATCACACACTGCCAGAGATCCAAATCATAAAATACCTTGTTAAGGACCACCTTTAAATATAATAATATCATCGATAGTTAGGTTGCGTGTTTTGTCATTTTGTTTTTGAAAAAATTTAACACTTTAACCGCATCGTGACCCATATGTGGGTCACGCGTGTCTGTCTCAACCTGCATCGTGACCCACATATGGTGCACACACTTAAATTTTTAATAATTTATTAAACTTCAATATCAGCCTCCTCAATCACATTTTAGGTGTTGTAAGTAAAGGATAATGATGACGACAATGTATACTAAGCATATATTTTGCGTGTAGCGAGTAAACAATAATAATAATTCTTTGTTGAACTTGAGTCCTTAGGCGCTTTATGACGAAATGGAATGCTTCAGATTGAAGCATGATACGCACAGATATGGTTTATTTTCGCAAGTGTCGCAATAAGTGTTTACCTTGCGAGTTTTTGAACGGGCTACTTTAGTTCCTTCCGCATTGGCAATTTGGCTGTAGCAAGACAGACATCTCTTCCTCTTCTTACTTTTAGGCCCATCAGCCTCAACCAGTTCATGAGATTTGCGCTTTCCTGAGATGTTTGATCTACCTGGACCTGGGTTCAGATTCTCTTTAGCGATTCCGCAAATGAGTGACATTGCAAGACTCTCTTTGAATTTCAGAATTGACATTTTTCTTCGTCGCTGCGGGAGACAAAATTGGTTATAAATAACCCAAGCATTCACAATTGAAGTTCCTAACAGCAATTCAATGGCAAGTTTTCTGTACCATTTGGTGCTTTTTCTGAGAACTGAATTATAAAAAGTCATTTGGTCAGATTTGTCAACCCCAATTTTTGCAGCATTATAATCTGTAATGCATCCATGTTTCATCACCTCCTCACCCATTCGATTTTTTTTACCAGTTGGAACAAGTTGCACATCATGCTCTGGGCAGGTAGATAGTGTGAAGACATCTCTCTTGTCTTTCCAATGGCATATTTTTACTCCTTTTGAGTTCATCTTTCCTGTTACCTCGCCTCTTTTCAGTTTTGCTGACATAACATCTTGTGGTAGTAGTTTCCTGTTCTTGCGTACAGTCCCACAGTAGTAAGTTTTTTCTTGGAGCAATTTCTCGGCTAATGGTACCGAGGAATAGTAGTTATCAGCATAGATGGTTGCTCCATTTTTCAGAAGAGGCTTCGCCAGTTTGAGAACAATTGACTCTGAATGGTTATGCTCAGGCACATTCGACAAATTGCCAGTGTAAACTTCAAAATTCCATGTATATCCATTCACAGTGCAAAGCTTGTATAGTTTGATGCCGTATTTATGTGACTTGCCAGGAATGTACTGTCTGAAGAAAATTCTTCCTCTAAATGGAACCAGCGACTCATCCACGACCAGTTTCTCCCCAGGAGAATACACTGATTTGAAGTTATTCTTCAACATATCAAGGATTGGTTCTATTTTGTGCAGTCTTCTGTTTTGTTCAAAAGTTTCATTATCGTTGAAATGCAGCATTCGCAAAAGGAGAAAAAATCGACTTCTAGTAATATTTCTTTTGACAAAATCATAGGCATAAAGTGTTTTCTTTGACCAATAGCATTCCATACTTGGCATGTTGACAAGGCCCATAGAGATCATGATGCCAAGAAACCTTCTTATTTCTTCATTATTTGTCGGTTTCCACTCTGATAGAAGTGACTTCCTAGTCACTCTTTGAGTTTCAAGAACTTGCTCTGCATATCTATTTGTTTCCTGAACAATATGCGATATAACATTGTCTGTTACAAACAATTTGAAGGCATCAATAGCTGAAACGGTTCCATCTGCTTCAGAAGGTACAGGTTGTACTAGTAGTTGTTCATTTCCTGTGAAGGAGAATGATCTTGCTGAAGCTACGGTTGAATTCCATTCATTGCCTGCGTTGTCGTCACATGCTGAGCCGGCATCATCATCTGAAACGTCATTATCACTTGAATCGTTATCAGAACAACTTTCTGATTCACTTAGAGCATAAGTTGGTGAAAAATCATTGCTTGTATCGGAGGAAGAATCGGCAGAATCTCCCGAATCAGGGCTATCTGCTCAATTTTCATCTGCATCAGGTTCAGCGTTTTCAGAACCTCCGCGTTTCCGGTAAAATCGAGATGGATCCATGGGCCTGAAATAAGGATATTACATAATTCATTATATAGCAAACACTAAGTGTATCCAATAATGAACAATATATAATGAATACCTGAAGGATCTCACAAGAGAAATTTTACAAATAACATGCAGTGGTCGTGGTCACATATGGCGCACGTTGTTACAGATAATAGCTACAATTACTCTCCGCATCGTGCACCTCTATTGGTGCACGGGGATCGTGACCCCATGTAGCGCACGATGTATAAAATGAACGCAGCGTTTACTGTCCACATCGTGTACCACATTTGTCCCACGGATTTTATAACACCAAATGTTTGTACTTACATTCATAGAGCGACACACAACCTCTCGTCTTCCTGGCTCAAGCGTGACTGAAGCAATCGTCGTTTGAACGAGATGCAGACGGGGCACAACGGCGATTCTCGGAGATGCGGTTAAAGTGTTAACATGACCTTGTGTAGACCTGCCCTGTATCTTGTCATTGTTATGTGATCCACCACAGAGCAGGCTCTGAACCTAGGACATTCTTATGAGTTGAAAGTGAAAGGCTACCAATACACACAATTTATACATTAATAATTTGTTTCCTTTGATTTATTGTTCATTTATCATTATAGTTCTTTATTTATCATTTTTTGATCGTCCTTTATTATCGATCATTGGCCAAGTGTATGGGGTCAGAGAATGCTTATTTATTGATTAGTCACCAAAAACGTTTGAGTATGTTTTTACTTCATACCCAGGGCATAGCATCTGTTGCAAAGAAAAATTGACAGAAAAAGCACATTGGAGAAAACGTAAGCAATTTGTTTAGTAGAACAAAACTTAGTTTATTACGAAATACTTTGAAAACTCAGTGTTGCTTCAAAATTGTGAAGATATCAGTTATATCATGCAGCCACACAAACAGTAGCAAATAAAGGCAACCTCATCTCTTGGTAGATTCAAGTTTGAGTGCAAGTTGCCAAGTAGTATTTTTACTGTGGTGAGAAAGCACAGCCGGTCATTCATGCATTGGTTGCGTTAATGTAAGATTTTTTCTCAAGCTCTACGACGAGCATGAACCTTGTGCCAGGTCTAGTAGTTGCTGCACCAGCTGCGGTTTGTGGTGCGCATCTGGTATTCAGCTAAGCTGATGCTTGTCACTCATTCCTTCTTGCTTGGAACTTTCTGCAGATTTCATTTCCTGGATTGCGCGACGGAGTTGAGTTAGAATTATATTGATATCTTGAGCTTCCTGCGGAATTAGTGAAAATTTTAGGTGGTCAGAGTTCCCCCATTGGGAGGTGGTGCCCTCCATTTGCAAACTATGACACTTTCCTAAAATTTGTCATTTGCATATGTAACTAGAAGAGTTCTACTACAATGCATCAAAACCTAGAGTTATTTTACCAAAAAAAAAATAAAAAATTGGAGGGGGTACTCTGACAGGTTTTAAATAATAGCTCTTTTTTGTGGGTCACATTTTTAATTTTTTAACCTATTAGATATGCAAACTTTTTAAATCTTTCTATTGTGTTACGTAGCCTCAGTATTAGGCCTTTAATGGCCAGGATGCAGTGAATCTTGTCTGGAAATCAGTTGCAAGAGTGAAGTGTTGCAGTGTGTTGTAGAGAGTATATAAGGGATTTACTGTCAAAGTTGCTCTCAGCATTTTCTTCTCAGCATCAAAGTTGCTCTCAGCAAAACATATGATGGTTGTCACTAAAACATTCCTTTCTGTTTCAGATAAATTTTCCACAATCTTTTTTTATAGTAAATTCACTTAACTCAATTAAAATGGTGTGAAATTACAAGCTGTCCTGTAAGCTTACAGATACAGAAAAAATGCTATAAGGCTGCTGATATGAAGCTTGCGTGGACAAGGTTGTTGTGAATGCTCAATCAATAGCATGTTCATGGATATGGTAATATCGCATCAATATGCGGTAATTAATGTATATGGTAATATCATATCAAGAAAGGAAAAACAAGTAAAAATCACAGAAAATGTCATTTATTCTACCTCTACATTATCTACAATGAAAGAGGAGGACTTCAGAGGACTGTTAGTAATGGATGAGTACACTCTGCAGGCTTCAAATGTTTTAAAATGAATTTTTATTCCAAGTGTCCCGAGTAGCCCCATTCGACGGGGCTACTCAGGACACTCTTTTTTTTTTGCTTCTGGCACCTTACGAATAGCATATGGAATTTTTTTGGAGAAGCCATGTGATAGCCCTTGCAAAGAGCTTTGAAATGAGTCTAAACTTGTTTATGAAATGTTTCATGGTAAGAAGTTATGAATGAAAAACATTAGAAATCGTCCCGAGTAGCCCCAGTTGATGGTACCTCTGCTAAGGTCAACCAAAAAAATATATGCCATATTAAAAAATTTTATTTACATAAAAGTTGTACACAGGTGTTGGCTTAAAAATGTGATTGCTGGAATTTGCGTATCTCATTAAAAAAAATGGTGGCTATTTCTGCAAGACAGGGATATAAGGGACACCCCTAAAAAGTCATTTACAGTAGAACCTTTATTAGCAAAGGCTCCAGATGAAAAGATCAATTCACAACAAAAAATTTATTATATCTACCTTGCTCAGTGAAAAAAATTTTACTCAACGAAAATCTAATGCATCATCTGTCATCACAAAATTGTGCATAGAATATCATGGATAAGTAAGGACCAGATTTTGTTATCCCATTCACCTTTTCCTAATTAAAATTAAATCTTGTCTACATTTTTGTAAAGTCTTATAATTAAGGGTCTAAATAAGTCTACCTGATATAAATATGTCTACCTGACATTCTCCTTTTGTTCCAGTCTAGTGCGTAAATGCAGAACTTTGCTAAAGTTTACTCATGGCATCTGTTCAGTGTTAGTTATTTTTCTAAATAATGGCTTCACTTGCTAGGGAAAATGATGAGGCAGCTGATCTCATATCAGCCGATCAAGTGGTCAGTCCACATTCTTGCCTGTCACATGCTGGAGATGAAACAGTAGATCTCTATGATGATATTCCGACTGAAATAATTGGAGTGCACAACAATCCTGCTGAAAGCCAAACTTCTAATGAGAAGGCATCTGCTAAAAGTGTGAACTCCAAACATTACTCTAAAACATCATCAGACAAGAAATCTACACCTGGTGCATTTGACCTGCTAGATGATTGCATCATTGCAAAGCACACAACTGAGGTAAGGATATTTAATAATTATGTACTAGTTTGAAATAAATCTGCTTTTTAAAGTAGTGCTAAAATAGTGTTCCTTGATTCTTGTCACACAATGCTAGTCCATTTTCAGCATTTTATCAAGAAAGCAATTTGCAAATTTAAGTGTGAATGACAAAAAAGTTTACTCTGATGGCTTATTTATAGTGTAGGTAGTGTTTTTTGGCATTTCATTGCTTTCTTGATTCTCCATTTTCTTTCTCAAAATTAGATGTATACCTATGTATATACTCTTACAGAACATTGTGCTAAAAATATTTGCTGCTCATTTTCAGAGAATTTTGTAATGAAACTCAAATAATTTTTTATATTACTGTTTTCTGCTGCTCAGCTTGCTGCAGAGAATGAATTGCTTAAAAGTGAGATTCATGCAATTCGGGAGCAGTCTAAGGAACTGCAAAAAAACATGACATGCTTGTGGAAGACTGCACGCATGCAGATCAAGGAAAAAGACAACAAAATTGTTGCATTGCAACGAAAGTGAGACTTAATTTAGACAGAATAATTTTAATGCTTGAGTACATTGTGGAATATTAATTATTATGTTTTCAGATTATCATTATGTAATTAGTTTAAGGTACTGTAAAACAGGGGGACTTGGATTATATTGACAGTACTTGGACCATTTTGACATTAAAGAAATGAAAACTGGGTACTTGCAATGTTCTTGCCAAAGAAAAATTGTGTTGATGGTTCTTGGAGTACCGAGAGATAACCTAGAAATGCAATATAGAGATATATTTGATATATTTACTATGTTGTTGCCAGGTATGAGTCTTGCATTGCTGGTGAGGTAACTGTGTTACCTGCATCAAATTATTTGGCAACAACCCTAATTAAGTTAAGAGAATGAAAGACTGGTCTAATATATTATCAATATTGAATAAAAATATAGTGCAATGTATTCCAGAAAAATTGACTAGTATAATTTTTAAATGGATATGTAATGGTGCAATGTGTTAATATGTTTGATTTCTGGAGTTATGACTAAGGGTAAGGAGCATGAACAGAGCATAGTGGCAAACCAGAGATTTTTTAGAATCAGTTCATTTTTAATTTTCTCATCTACTCAATATTTTAATCAATTTCTTATGTATGAAAATGCTGGTATCCAAGATACTTTCCTGGTCTACACCGTCTACTTATAGGACTCAAAAATGAACTTGATGAAGAGTCTAAAAGAAATTGCTGCTTTGCCACTATGGAACAGAGTTAATAGTTATTCCATCATTAGTAAACTGTAAAAGAAATAACGCAACATAAATAACCCATCCAGCCTAATAATGATAATAATATGACTGTGAAAGGATTAAATTAAATATTAATATTGATGCAATAAAAACTAAACTGTTAGCAGGCTGGTTGTGTGTTGCAAGCAAAAAATATTTGAGCAAAAATCAGAAAACCTTTGCAAAGAAAAGCTAAAACCAGAACCAGAATAAATTGCTTGAGTAATTTGTAATAGTAACAAAAGCAAAGCATTCAAGAATAACTTGCAAGCAAATTAAAGTAGAATTGAGAATTGCAATAAATATTGATAATAATTAAAGCACACACAAAGTTGAATAGTCAAATTAACAGCAATTAAAATTATGGAACGCTTAGAAACACAAAGCTGCAAACTTAATTATACACCCAACTATATTTAAGGCAGTTTTGCATAAAGAGTCAATAATTTAGTGATGAGCAACTGTATTTGCATGGTCTCCCAACTACTAGCATAATAATTAACCAAGTATTTGAAAATACAATGAATTCACTGGCCAAAAAGAACAGAAAGAAAACATACATACATAAATAATCAATGAATGATATACATAGAGCAAATGGTTGGGCAGGCAATAATGATGAATGTCTTCCGGCAACAATGTGACTATTTGTATCAAAAAAAGGTTATGCTAAAACTGGCCACCAGCCACCCCATTTTACAGTGTATATGATTTTAAATGATTAAAATTTATGTGTAAATGATTAAAATTGATTTTAATCAATATTGATTTCCCTCAAATTTATCAATGAGGTCTAGAACATACGATGAATATTTTCATATGATTGACAGTTAATTAAAAGTTAATTTTACTAACATTCTATAATTTGATATTTAAAATTTTTGTCTTGAAACATCTTAAGGATAGTTATAATGAATGATATTTCCCAGTCTCTAATGTTGTTTCTTTCATAGATATGAAGCTCTGGTATTCAGACGGGCCATGAGAAATACAAGCAAGGATGATTTCGACAGAATTGTGACAAGAATATCTGCCTATGCACCAGCAGAAATGAAAGAGTTTTTGCAGGTATGATATTGGGTTCAGCAACGTTTGAAATCCCTCTCTTGTTTTCTTGAGAGAATCCTTGAAAATAGTAATTTTTTGTTGTGTGTTTGCTTCAATCCTGTCTCAATTCCTTTGTTATGTGGAGTAGAAAAAGATTTCACATATAAATTTGTTCTTAGTTCTGCCTAAAGACGCCATGTTTTTCCTGCCAAAATAAACTATAATTGTTAATATAGTAACAAACTATAATTGTTAGTACCAAAATCAGGATTTCCCTAATTTTATGTGAGCTTAACATATTTTTTGTCTCACAGGAGATGAAACGAGACGGATCTGGATTATGTAAAAATTGTGGTGTCCAGACTCCAGAATGCTGGTGGTGCTGTCGGCGGCGGGGGTCCCGGGGGGTGGTGGTGGCTAGTCTGGAAAAGTCCTATTTTTGTCTGAAATATCGCGGCTCTAATATCATATAATTTCAGTAGGTATGAAATCTCGCGGCTCTAATATCATATAATTTCAGTAGGTATGAAATCTCGCGGCTCGAATGTCATAAATTTTTGTTTGATTAAAAAATCGCGGTTTGCACTTCGCAAACATGTCATTTCATAAAAGGCTCGTAGAAATGGAATCACGGCTGGCAAATCCATAAAACCACGGCTCGAAAAATTCAGTCGCGGCTTGCCAAGTAGATATATTCCATACTAGGGTGGTGGTAGTGGTGGTAGTCAGTCTCCTGGCACTAGGCTGGCAGGCTGGTAGAGCACTGTATCCAAGCAGTAATAATCCAAGGAAAGCTTTTCACCTTGGGTGGAAAGCTTTTTTATAAGTGAACTTCCATTCTGATTCTTAGAATTCCAGCCTGGTGGTGGTGGCATGCCAATTCCAAGTAACTTGTCTCAAGTGCAAGTCCACTCTGCAGTTTGAGGTCATCAAGTTCCTGCCGTTGAAGCTGAGTCTCTGCTCCATCTCCTGCCAGTTGAGCAACAGAAACAAGTGAGTAGTGGAGTTGTTAATCCTAAAAAACACCCTAAATCTTCACTAACGAAGAAGCTCCTGAAGATGGCTCATTCAGAACCCAACAATGTGAACGACACACATTCATCTGTGTTGCCGTCTGCTGAATCAAAGAAGAGAAAAAGAAGCCGTAGTGACGACCGCGGATCAAGAGAACCGCCAAAAAGAGACTTGAGCTATGAAAGGAAAAGCCATCACCGATCAAGAAATTCCGGAGAACG